GGGATGCCGCGTTAAAGCAGGCATTCTGCAGGCTTGGCGACCAGGCGAGGATTGTCAGGGCTATTGCCGACCTGTGCAACGGCGCCACTGTTACGGCTGCGGGCAACCTCCGCAAGGTCAATAACCAGCGAGAAGAGAGAGTCGCAGGCGGAGACCTTGGCGGCGCAGGCCGGGGCGCTAAACAGGACCAGCGCGGCGGATGAGGAGGTGCACCAGGTTGGATATCACAAGGGATCATGTCGGCCATCGTCGGGCTCGCGCGTCAAATCGGGGACGCCGCCGCGCAGTTGCCCAAGTCGGCGCACTGGTACTCCAAGGCTACCGTGTACCGTTGATTGCGCAGTCGAAATCGAGAGCCGTACCTATTCAGTGTTCCATGGTAATTATGTGGGCTGGTGCCGACGTCTTGCTCCCTCCCGACGGAGTTAGAACGCTATCTCCGCAGACCCCCCAAGCGTTGCCCAAGGCTCAGTTTCCGCCACAGGCGGCGCCGAAGTTTCCGCCGAAGGAACTCACGGGAACTAGGCCGTGACCCAGTGCGGGGCCCGTGGAAAGACCGAGGTTCGGCACGTCAGCCGCGTCTTCGGGCTCCCGTTTGCCCATCAAACCAGCGCCCATTCCTACAAGGGCACCGCCGCCAGGGAAATCGGCCCAGGCGTCGGAGGGTGATCGTAAGCGTGGCCGCTCAGTTTATTAAGCCTTAGACGAATGCAGGCCCCGTTCCCGCAGCCTGCCTACGAAAGGCGGGGGCGCAGCTAGCGGAGAGCGTCTCCCCGCGGGCCTGAGGTTGGCGGTTTACCCGGCGAGCCCAAGGTTGGTCAAGCCAAGGCGGAAGCGCCGAAGGCCAGGCTGTTACCGGCGCTTCCGCTGGCGGGCACAGCGCGGTCACCAGCAGGGCCGCCGTCCGCAGTTGCATTGGCCGAGCACCGCGATCGTGCCATCGTCAACAGCCGCAAGTGCCCTCAGTTATGTGCAGAGATGGCCAATGGCGTGGATGATGTCGAGGAAGGAGTAGAATGACTGAGGAGCAGGGTCAGGAGGATGAGCGGGTAATCGCATGGTGTTGGGAGCGGAGGATGAGGATATATGGTGGTGGTGGTGGGCATGACGATGCAGGTGCCGCTGCGGATGCCGACGACGATGACGGTGATGATGATGATGATGATGATGATGATGATGATGATGATGATGATGATGATGATGATGGTGATGGTGATGATGATGAATATGATGATGCTAGTGATGGTGATGGTGATGATGATGATGATGATGATGATGACGGTGCTGATGATAATGAAGATCATGATGATGATGATGTTGATGATGATGATGATAATGATGATAATGATGATTGTGATGATGATGATGATGAGGATGATGATGCGGATGGTAATGGTGATGATGATGGTCATGGCCAAGGTGGTGGGGATGATTGAAGACGGCGATGCTGATGAGGATGATGACGAGGATGAGGACGAGGATACTGAGCGTGAGGGTCAAGATTGTTTCCCGGTGAAGATGATGATTCATATTCGGATTCGGATGCAGGGCAACGGCGATGATGGTGATATGGATATCGATGTTGATGATGGTGGTAAGGATGACGATGATGAGGCATGCCGACGACGACGACGGTGATGCTGATTATGCTGATGAACATGATGACGGTAGTGATTGTGATGGTGATGGTGATGATGATGATGTTGATGATGACGATGATGATGATGATGATGATGATGATGATGATGATGATGATGATGATGGCGATGATGGTGATGATGGAGATGATTGGCCCGTGTACCTGATGAAAACCTTTGAAGGCGAATATGTTCAGCCCTCAGGCGTTAACCGCATTTTCAAAACCAGTCGCCCTCCACTCGTGCAGCTGGTGCAATTTACGCGACGACGGGAACAGCATTTTGAACACCATCCACCCTCCTTCCGCATAACTTTTGGAACTTTCAAGCGGGATCATCGCTTCCGCGGGAATCTCAGCCGCAACGTCCAGCCCTCCCTGCTGACCTGTTCTGGTGGCCCGACGACGAGGAACTAGTCTTTAAGGAAGGGCGTTGGGGCAGGTTGAGGCGCTGGAGCAGATAATGGCGGGAGGGGGCCGGAGGAGGAGGCGGAGGAGGAACCCATGCCTCTCAGAGATGATCTTTGAGAAAGTCGACTAGCAGAAGGCACAAGGCAAGGAAGAGGAGGGGGAGGGATAATGCGGACACCTATGTTTGCCGGCTGCCCGCGCTGCGCCGGGTCGAGTTTGAAAGGGGGAGTGGGAGGTAGAAGTGAGGGCGAGGGGAAAGCAGAAGAGCGGGTGCAGATGCGGGATTGTGGACGTCAGGCAGGCTAAGGTTTGGCAGCGTCCAGGAGAGCTCTGGAACGATGGCGGCGCCCGATTCGTGTACATATAGAGATATATAATTTCTCATGTTATAGATATAATTAATATCTAAACATCACATATATACACATACATATGTGATCCAGGGTTGCCCCCCCTCCCCCAACGCATATGGGATCGACCCCCCCCGCTGGATGGGTACGCCCGTCAGCCTCGCGAAGGCAGCCTCGCGAATTGGATCGTTCCCGTCCTCCTGTGGTCGTGGCCCTGTGGAGGTGGCGTGGTGGAGGGTGCCGGTGCACCCCGCGCCCTCCCCCTGTGGGCGTGGTGTGGTTCGTCGTGGTAGTCCGTCGTCCGTCGTCCGTCGTCCGTCGTCGGCGTCGGCGTCGGCGTCGGCGTCGGCGTCGGCTCGGCGTCGGCGTCGGCGTCGGCTTCGGCGTCAGCGTCGGCGTCGGCATCGGCGTCGGCGTCGGCGTCTGCGTCGGCGTCAGAGTCGGCTTTGCGTCGGCGGTGGCGGCGGCGGTGGCGTCGCTGTCGTCGTTGTCGTCGTCGTCGTCTTCCCCCCCCCATCCTACCGATCCCGGGGTGTGTAGGTCGCCTGTGGACCCTCGACCCGGGATCATATGTTCTCCTGGTCCGCCAGCCCTTCATCCGAAGTTATCTTCGCCCTTCCTCCGTCTTAAGAATGGCGGGTACAGATGAGGTAGGCAGGGTCAATTTCGATTCGGCCAGTTCGATTCAATATTGCTTCTGACATTCCCGCTCCGATTCGATGCGGATATTTTGAGGATCCGTTGCGGCACGACGCTCGCATGGCGTTGTTGTGTTTCTTGGTGCTGCCGATCCGATTTGATTCCGACTCCTAGCCGATGCGGGCCGATTCTGCCCTACTCTATATGCCTTATTAATCGACCCCCCCAGAAAAACCGGACCCCCCTCGAAATGCGACCTAGTATTTTGGACCCCCCTCTTCGACAGGGCGCCTTAATGTTCCGGACCCCCTCAGCACAATAACATCATCGGCGCGGGCACCCCAGTGGATGTTTTAACAATGATACGGTTCTCAGCATACCACGCCAGAGGATTTATGAACACCCAGGCGGTTGCATTTGAAGCGCAAAGTATTCCTCACCATTGCGGGCACACCAGAGGATTTGTTAACACCGAGGTGAGACGCAACGTATTCCTCAGGTTCCTCGGAGTGCCTCTTGCAGCACATCACGCCAGAGGGTTATTAGCACCCATGATTATAATATAAGCGCAACTCATTCCTCACCTTTCCGGCAACACATTTGCCATCGCCGTCGCAATGCACATCGCCATTGCACTGCTATCGCCGCCATTGCTGATGCCAGTGATCATAATGCGGGTAGGGATAATGATGCTGATGATGCTGCTGCTGCTGCTGCTGCTGATGATGATGATGATGATGATGATGATGATGGTGATGGTGATGGTGATGGTGATGGTGATGATGATGATGGTGGTGGTGCTGTTGATGACGATGATAATGGTGGGGATGATCATGATGCTGATCTGCATCCAAAGTGGCTAGTTACAGAAGACCTTTCGTAATCATAATGCTGATATTCACGAGGCTGATAACAATTATGCTTGTCCAAAAGGCGCCTTAATAAACTGGACCCCCTAAGCTCCAATTCACACAAAGCGCCCTAATAAACCAGACCCCCCCCCGTTACGAAAAAAGGCGCCTTACAAAACTGGACCCAGGGGACGATGAATTAGGCATATGGAGTACATTCCAATGTGATACGATTTCCCGATTCGATGCTGACTTATCCTGGTGTGGGGGGAGTGCCCGAGACATTCTTCAGGCCCGCCACCCCTTGATGCGAACTTATCTCTTCGTCCTGGCCTCGTCTGACGAATCCCGGGTAAAGATGGGAGAGGTTAGGATGGAGTTCTTGGGAGGTTCAATCGAGCATCGGCGCTGGTATATCCGTGGTTGAAAACTGGCCTAATCCCGTATTGGCCCGCTTGTGTAATCCAGCTTAGTTCATCGGGCTTGATCCTAGGCTGAATCCTGGGTTGCTCCGGCTGGGTGGCCTTTCGAGCGGGCTCGCTGGCCTGGAATCGTTCTCGCGCAGAGCTCCCAGGAGTTGCCTCCCAAAAGCCAGGGGAGGGGCAGCCGGGCGGGCCGAGGACCGGGATGCGTCGCTACCGAGCGTTCCGGACCGCTCTCGGAGCGTTGCGGAGCGCGCTCTGGAGCGGCCGCGGCGCCGGGCACGTCCTCCAGAGCCGCGGGGCCTCGGAGGCCCCCGAGGTATCCTGGGCAGAGCTCGTCTCAGTCTTGGCCTCGTTCCCAGGAGGGGGGAGTTCGGCAGCAGCTCACGGGTGGAGCCGCTGGGCCTCAGATGTCCCCGACGCATCCGAGGCAGGTCTTGTCTCAGTCCTGGCTCCGTCTCAGGGTGGGGGAGTTCGGCAGCAACTTACTTATGGGTGCCTCCTGTGTCCTCGTAATGCCGTCTTTGGCGTGCATTTACGTGCGCCAGCATCTGGCAGTTGATGTTCAAGCGCCGACCCAGCGTCGACTGGCGTTGACTGAGCGTCGATTGGCGTCGGTCACCGCCGGTTCGCAAGAGCCAGCAGGATGGCATGGGCGGCTCCCATGGCTTGCCCCAGAGGGGAGGGGCAGGGTTCCGCCGTCGACTCTGGCATCGCCGCCCTGGCCGCCGCGGTCGTCGACGCCACAGCGGCCCCGGTGCAGGGCGGCGGCGGCGCAGCGCCCGAGCAGCCCCGCCGGGCGCGCGCACTCCCTGCTTGTTTTTTGCCCTCTCTGCCGTACGACTGCCTCGTCCTCCGAGGGCGAATCGCCGAGTCTCGGTGGCGACGAGCTCGGAGCCGAGGGAGCAGCAGCAGCGTCCCTTGGACTCTGTCCCCACCTCTTTCGCTCCGTGCAGGCTGCTGTGCCGCTCGAGCCCCAGGCCGCGCCAGCGCCAAGCAAGACACGGGGACAGCCCCGTGCAGCGGGCTTCTCTTCCGAATGGTAGAATGCCAGTCGTTTTGCCATGATCACTGCAGCCATGCACTTTGTGATACCACTCATCCCCAATGCCGACGTGTTTAACTCTCGTCCCCCTTGCGGGGCCCCCCAAACGGTGTGGTGACCACACCGCTTGGTGAGTCAGTGGGGATTCGGAGCCCCCATGCGGTTTTCGGACTCGAGTCGTTCTCCGAGGATGTCTCGAGCGATTGGGGCCTCCGGGGTCCCCAAATCGTGCTGTACCGGACCTCTGGATCTTTCCCAGGGAGGAAACATTGAGCATTGCATTGCATCATATTCTGAGTTCCGCGCGGATTTCTTGGACCAGCGCGGGCCCCCCCGACGGCGCTTCCGGCGCCGCCCCCTGCGCGTTCCGCGCGAGAGGCATCAAAAGGTCTTGCGCAGATCTAAGAAATCCGCGCGGAGCTCCGACAGGTTACAATTGTTTCTTCCACCACGGCCGAGGATTTTCCAATATCCGATCCACCGCCTGGGAACCCGGCCTTCCTGGGCCTCTGGAGGTAGTGGGCGCGAGTAAATTGGCTTGGCAGTTAGGTGCGGGGGTCGGCGGCGAAACTATTTGCCCAGTAACGTACTCGCCGTCCTGGCTTCTGGGCTCTGATTTGGCGGATGTCCGACCCTTGGCTACCCTACACGATAGGGGAAGGTCGTGCCTGTTCTTGCAAGCCTTGCAGCATCGTTCGCCGTCCTGGCTTCTGTTGGGCGGTCATGTCTCCTGGTAGATGGCATCCGCTGGGCTACCCTACCACGATAGGGAGAGGCCACGCCTGCTCGTGCAAGGCTTGCAGTACGAGTCCGCGCCCTTCTTCTCGTGCCGTTTTTCGTAGAGCCGTAGTAGCGCTCGTCGACGGACGACGGCGGCGATGGCGACGGGCGACGACCACGACGACAACGGCGATGACGCTGGCGGCGGCGGCGGAGGAATGATAGTTTTTGAAGGTCATTGTTGTGTGTCAGCCACCCTCAAGTAGACCCCAGAAATAACAATTACTTCATCGCTTCGCTCATCCCGCTGGCCCGTATTTTGCCATCGTTGGCGTTTGCGTGCGCGTTCGTGGGCCATGCGGCGTAGCTGGTCGGCGCTGCTGCGGTTGTGGGTGAGAGTCCTCATGGATGGTTCTTGTTGTCTCGTCGGAGGGTTCTCGGGGGGCTCTGGTGTAGCAGTTTTGTATCAGTTTTAGAGGTTTGGGGGGCCTCCTGGGGGCGCCTTTGATGCCTCTTGGGGCTCTCTTGGCGCCTCTTGGGGGCGCCTCTTGGGGCCGAGGGCTCGAAATGCCCGTTCGGCTTCCTCCTTCTGGGCGCCCTCTTGTGGCCGTCCTGGGGCTCTCTCTGTCCGTCTTGGAGGCCTCTGGGCCGTCTTGGGGCCCTCGTGGGCCGTGATGGGGTTCTTTTGGCGGCCTCTTAGGCCGTCTTGGGGCGATCTTGGGGGCCTCCGGGGCCGTTTCGGGGTTCTCTTCGTGGCTTCATGGGCCGGCCGTCTTGGAGTGATATCATGGGGCTTCTTGGCCCGTCTTAGAGCGTCGGCGGCCGAAAAAGTGAGAACGCTGAAAACCTTTCAAAAAACCAATGTCCAATGTGGAAAGTCGTTGAAGTTTGCCTCTAGGGGGCTTCTTGGGAGTGGTAGTGGAGGCCTCTTCGGGCGTCTTGGAGGCGGTTGAAGCCGTCTGGAGGCTATCGTGGGCATCTTGGAACGACTTCTGGTGACTCTGGGCCCTCTTAGATCGCCTTGGGGGCCTCTTGAGACGCTCTTGAAGACCCTGAAGGCAGTCCCCAGGAGTTCCGGCATCCGTGACGGGGGACGCCCAGAATGTGCATGGGATGTTTTTCGTCTGGCGCCCCCCCACAGGGGCAGCCACGCGCGCGCGAATTAGAAGTACTCTAAAGCTGTCACTGGAGATTTTTACACGCCTTCGGCCCGCTGGGCCGGCGAATTATTTGTCCATCATTTGGGTGGGGGGCGGCGGAATTAAAGACCACTTGCGGTCATACTTGGGCCCCAGGGGGCCCACATATATCCGTATCCACCGCCCGCTGGGGTCCCAGGACATCGGTTCCCCAGGCGGCGGAGGTGGATACACCTTTGCTTCGCACTCCTTCCTCCCAGTCTTCCTCATCCCGTTACTCCTCCCTTTGGCACACCCTCCTCTTCCCCCTCCCTATCTTTCTGCTCGTTCTCCCGCCGCTCCCCCTTCTCTTGCCTCTTCGCACTCTTTTTGTCCCGCTATCCTCGACATTCTCTTCCTCCACACCCTCCGCCCTCGTGCATCTTCCCTCCTTCTTCCTCGTTTCCTCCATTCTCGTTTTACTAGAATGTATTTCTTCCTGGGCTGGAGTGCCCACTCATACCTGGCTCACTTTCACAAGCCCGTTGCAATATATCATACATCTCTGCAGCCCATTGAGCTTGTGTTGAGCAAGGCGAGGCTAGAATCGTACTAGCATGCTTGGAACCAACATCTGCGCCGAGAGACAACGAAGTCAGCACCGCTTCCTTTCCGTTCGGAACTGCATGTCATTTGTGGCAGGGTCTCGATGTAGCATGCGGTCGACTGAGGTTGAGTTCTGATTCGCCGAGTCGGTCCGAGTTGTTGTCGGGACGACTGGGGGAGCACGGGAGCACAGGTTCAGAGTAGGGTTGCTTTGCAGCTCGTTTCCCCATTCGAGGCCATCTTGGGTCGGACTCTCTTGGAAGCCTTGTGGCATGTCGTGGGGCGATCTTCGAGCCTTTTCTTGGAGCCGTCATGGGCCCTCTTGGGCAGTTATTGGGCTCTCTTTGGGCGTGTGCAGCCCTCTGGCCGTCCTGTGCCCCTCTTGGGCCGCCTTCAGGCCCTCTCAGCACCCTCTTGGGGCCATTCTGTCAACCTTTCCCTGAATAGCCATCGCCATCGATCGTTGAACATAGGTATCTTTGGATTCCAAGATTCCAATCTACTTTAAGCGCCTTCCTACTTCAAGGGCGTTGGACAGAGCCCAATCTACTCTCAACGCCTTCCTGCTTCATCTTTCCACCTGCTGTTTCCGACCGATGGGTAGACTGATGCTTAAGCATACCGGCATCACATGATCCCCCTCTCGGGTGTGGAGCACCCGTCTTGAAGATCCAGGTGGACACGCTGGATCCCGGGGTTAGACTACAGGCGGCCCGGATCAGTAGGTCGACCCTGCCAGATCGAGAGTACCCTTGTGTCCTGTGTCTCGCGACCCATGCTTTCTTACATTCCTATGGCAATGTGACCCTCGGAAGGGTCTTGTGTCCTCTCGCGTGTCCTGTCCAATCGAGTCCGACTGTAATGGAACATTCTGTACGTCCCAGCTCCAGGATGGTGCGGCTCAGGCACCAAACGACGGTGCACCGCAGGACCGTTCCAGGCGCATTGCGAGCGTGCTCAGCCGAGGATCGTGCCAGCTGTGTAGGGGGAAGCGGGTTCCCTCCCGAGGTAAAATCCCAAAGCTGGTTTTTCGGTCCATGGGAGTAATGTTGCGAACTTTGTGGTTTCAGGGAAGCGTCCCCCAGATCTCAAGGCTTGGGCTGATTGATCGCGGATGGTTGGGCCGTCTTCTGCCGGGGCCTCTGGCGGTGGGATGGAGCCTCCGCCCAAGGGTGATCAGAAACCTCCTCGCCGCGTCGACGCTGTCGCCAACGCCGTCGCCAGCGTGTCAACGGCGGCTTCGACGTCGACGACGTCGGCGACGGCGTCGACGGCGACCACGTCCACGCCGTTGACGCCGCCGATGACGTTGGCGACGGCGCCGTCGTCGCCAGCGTCGACGTCGACGGCGCCGACGGCGTCGAGCGTCGACGGCGCCGTCCAAGCGCGGCGCGGCACCGGCGACGGCGTCGACGGCAACGACGACGCCGGCGACGGCGCCGTCGTCGGCGTCGACGTCGGAGGCGCCATCGGCGTCGCACATCGCCAGCGCGCCCGCGGCGCCCAGGCGCCGCTGCCCCTGCCGTTTGTGAGCTGGCGGGCGCCGGAGGCCGCCGCCGGCGGTGCGCCCGCGGCCGCTCCGCGGGCGGCCAGGAGGGCTTTTCGGGGGGCCTCGTAGACGACGACGGCGGCGTCGGCGATGTCGACGACGACGACGAGGACGACGACGGCGACGACGTGTGCCCCAGAGCGCCCGATCCCTGTTACGGGTCGCGGTGGCGCGCCAAGTCATGATCAGCTTTCATCGAAAATTGATTCGGCCGCCAGCTAGTGGCCATACATCGAAGGGGTTCGGCCCGCACCGGCGCGAAGAGATGACGATACGTTTTGGCTCGCCCATATCCTGCGTTTGGAGTGCAACGCGTGGAGCCAGGACATTGTGGTGAGGCTGGGCGGATAGATCTGTCGTTTTTGTCGACGAAGGTCCGCTCCGAACCCGCGCTTACGAAGTGCGTTGGTTCGGGTTCCGCTTGCTGCTCGGAGAAAATGTGAGCCACCGTGCGCCTCAAACATGGATTTCTTGCACAGTGGAGGTGAACATGATGTGCGATGTAAGCTGTGCGGCATGAATTATCGAATGGCCTTCGGCCCATCCCCCCATCGTGCCTGGGTGGTGGGTCGTAGGTCTTTGAGATGTCCGTTGGGATGTCGCGGGCGGCCTCTCGTGGACCTTTCGGGGCCAGTTTTGAGGCCTCTTGGGGGCCCCGTGGGGGCGTCTTCGATGCCTCTTGGTGGTCTCCAGGGGCCTCCTGGATGCCTCTTGTTTCCTCCTTGGGGCCTCTTGGGGGCCTCGTGGGACGGAAGAGCTCGGATTTTCGGTTCGTGTTCCCCTTCTTGGCCCTTCTTGGGGCTGTCCTTGGACCATCTCGGGCGGTCGTGGGCGTCTCTGGGGCCGTCTTGGAGCCCTCTTGGGCCGTGCTTGGGTCCTCCTGGGGGCCTCTTGGTCCCTCTCGGGGCGGTCCTGGAGGACTCTTGGGCTGTCTTGGAGGTCCCCCAAAAAAGTATAACAACACACGGACAAGCATAATAACAAGGCTCTCTAGGGGCGTGTTTGGGGCTTCTTGGACCGTCTTGGGACCATCCTGGGCGTCTTGGTACAACATTTGGCTTGGCATCGCTCGGACGTGTGCAATTTTTTCTCGGCGAGAACCATCGAGGACCATCCTGGACCATCGAGCAAAAAACACTCACGAAACCGGAAAATGCACGGGAAATGGACGCCCGAGCGACGGCAAGTTGCGCGTCTCGGGGAGCCGCCGGGACCCCGGGGGGGGCACGCGCCAGTCCCTGACGGGGAAGTTTGGGTCACAGGACCCGAAGGCACGCCCACTCCGTGCCCGGCGGCGCGGTGGCGGACGTTGTGCAAGTTCTGCTGTGCACGTTGTGTCGTGCAAGGCATGTCGCGTAAGCCATGCGGTTCTGAACTATGTGAGGTGAGCTATGTTGACTGGGTTATGCGAAGTCAGCTATGTAATGTGCGCATGTGTTGTATGTGAGCCGTGCGGTCTGAGCTAGGTGGTGTGAGCTAAGCGGTGTGGGCCATGTGGTGTGAAGCTTTGCTGCGTAAGCTATGTGGTGTGTTACGTGCTGCACGCTATGAGGCGGACCCCGCAAGCGGCGACAGGCGGCAACGAGGCGGCCACGAGGCGGCCACGGGCGGCGACGCGGCGACACCTCGGCGGACGCCACGAGCGGTCGGCCACGAGGCGGCCGCGGGGCGGACATGGGCGGCGAAGCGGCGAAACCTCTGCGCACGCCCCCATGTGGGCGGCAGCCAGGCGGCCACGGGGCGGATACGGGCGGCGACGCGGTGAAACCTCGGCGGACGCCCCAGGCGGCAACGAGGCGGCCACGGGCGGCGACGCGGCGAAACCTCGACGGCCCCCCCAAGTGGGCGGCGACGAGGCGGCCACGGCACGGCCACAGGCGTCGCCGCGGCGAAACCTCGGCGGGTCCTCCAAGTGCGTGGCCACGAGGCGGGCGTGGGCAGCGACGCGGCGAAATCTCCGCGGACATCCCACGTGGGCGGCGACGACGCGGCCACGCGCAGTGACGTGACGAAGCCTCGGCGGACACACCAACCCAAGTGGGCAGCGACGAGGCGGCCACGGGTTGCCACGGGCGGTGACGCGCGAAACCTCGACGGACGCCCCAAGTGGGCGGCAACGAGGCGGCCATGGGCGGCGACGCGGCACGAGCATCGTCAAACCGTGGTGTCAGAAGACAGAGGCCGCAAGCGCAACATATTGTTTGTGGAACATACTGCTCAAGCACAATCTGTCAAACCTCGGACACGTTTTCTTTGTGTTTTTTGTCTTGGAATCCAGCTGCATGTTTCTCCCGCTTCGCGGGTGAATCTGGGAGCAGTGTCATCGCCGTGATGTCTAGCGCCACGCATTTGTGAGAGAGTTTCCAGCGGTCACCGCCTTTTGGGATTGGAGCCCATGGTTTGAGGTACATGTTCAGTCGTGGTGTTCACTGGTCGCCCACTTGATACAGAGTCAGAGCACATAAATCGGCAGGTGCAGTGTCACTGCTGTTGTCCAGTGGCCTACTGATTTCATCCTGGGTCGATGTCTTTTTATGATCATCCTTCTTCCTACTCCTGCCTTTGCCGCTACTCTTGATCCCTATCCTTCCTCCTGTGGTTTTGATGGGAAGAGAAAGAGGGGCCCTTCACCATCATCACGCCTTGGTATGGTAAGTTGTCACACGGGGATCACACTGGGCGGAGTTAGTCGGATCGCCGCGGCTCTTTTCATCATCATTCCCCACGTAGTACAAGATCATACACATGCATGTCGCACGCCCGTGTTGCGTGGGCACTGTGCTCGCTTATTGGTTCTCCACCTGTCGGCATCTCGTCTGAGTTCTCTGTCACTATGGCTTCTACGACCATGATGGCGCTCAAGGGTGGCCAGCTTGGAGGCGTACCGCTCCCCGTCATTTACCGACCCTCATACGGACGTGTGTTCACCCGGCCAGACGTCATCTTGCCAGTCGCAGGATCTCGTGAAGGGGACCCACCCCGATGCGTACAATGAGCAATGCCAGCCATGCAAAGTCGCGTGCAGTCTGGCATCGGCGCCAGGCTGCGGGCGCCATTTTTGATACACCATGTCATTGTTCTCATCCAGTTCCCTCCCTGCCCCCTTCACATCTCTCAACTCGTCTGCTCTCCTGCAGCTATGTGGGAGAGGGCATGAAAACAGTCTCCAGCGTGGGCACGTCGTCGCCCAACACCGGAGCAGGCCAGCTGATCTTCCGCTTCCTTCCCTCTGTGTTCATTTTCCACTCGCCTCGCTTTCACCGCCCGCACACCCTGACCAGCAGCACCAGGAGGAGGATAAGGAGGACGAGGAGGAGCAGGAGGAGGATGAGGAGGAGGAGGAGGAGGAGAAGCCAGAAGGGAAGGTGAGGGAGTGCAGGATGTAGTAAGGGAGGGAGGGCAGGAGGTGATGAGATATGAAATGAGAGCGGTCGCGAAGCGAGTCTGCAGGAGGTAAGGGAAGGAGGGCAGGAGGTAAGCAGGGTAATGGAAGGAAGGGGGTAAGGGAGGGAGGGCAGGGTACAGAAAGAACATTGGGAGGGCAGGAGGTCAGGGAGGGAGGGAGGGAGGGCAGATGAAGAGCACCAGCATCGGCGCTGCTGCTCCTCCTCTGCGTGTACTTGGACAGCCCGTTCGAAGCCCGTCAATGTTGCTCCCTTGTGGCAGCCTGGTGCTCTCTTGCATACAGTCAAAAACGCTGAAATTAGGGCCGGTTTGGGCACAGGGGGGCTAGGGTTTTCGAGCCGTTTCTCAGACATCTTCCGTGGAACCTGTGTGTGGTCTAGGCCCGCAGTGGCCAGAAAAGCCCATTCGCTCCTTTTTATGCATTTCTTACGGTACCGCGATGACTGTATAATACCACCCCTCGTTCCGTAAGGCACTCGCGCCCCGACGCGAGGCTCCATCCGGCTCCGAGCTGCTCGAAGTCATCGGTTTCTGCCGACGTCCCTCTCTCCTCACATTGTCCTCCCCCTCCCTGGCCTTGTCCTCTTCCTCCTCGTTCGTCTTTGCTACCTCCACCTCGCTACGCCTCCACAATTACACAATGTGAATACTACTCTCCTCCATCCCCTGATGGCGTGCGGAAGATAGCGGGCACCCCTCCGCGTACTGTTTTTTACAGGATTTCCCGGAGTTTGGTTTTCGCTTGTTTTTTTTCAAAATGATGCTCTCGCTGAGGCGCGGGCTTCATTTTCGGGCTTCCGCTCGTTCCGAATCGTGCTCCCGCTGCAGCGCTGGCGTCATTTCCCGTCCCATGCCACTGCATGCAATGCATGCTAGGTTGCGTTCCGTTGCGCGATGCCATGCCTTCAGCTGCAGCTGTCATATCCAGTGCTTAAGTGCCACGTCATGCTATGCCATGCTACGCTTTGATCTTCAACGCCATGCTATGCAATGTTTTGTTCGGGGCCGCTGTGCGATGCCATGCTTTGCGTGGCAAAGCTTTGTGATGCAATTCTTCACTACGCCACGCCACGCCATGCTGTGACATACTACGCTTTGCGGTGCTCTTCTACGCCATGCCATGCCGTGCTCTACAATGCATCGCGTACCCTTTCGGGATCATTGCCCTGCTCGACATCCGACTGTGCGAGTATAGAGGGGATCTACGCCATGGTCCATGGTAAGGGATGGGAGGGAGGGGTAGGATGTCAGATAAGACGCGAGCGCACCTAGCTTGCCCGCTCCCCTCCCCATCATCCCCAACCTCTCGCCCATCCATCCCTTCTCCAACCACCTCTTCTCCTTCTCTCCGAGTGCCGCCGAACTTAGGACGCTCGCCCTCCCAGCGCTCCACGCATCAATGCATCCAGCCATCAAACGGCGAGTCCTGACCTGGCTTCTCCCTCCTCTTGCTACGACAGGGGGACTGGACAAAGAGGACGGGCTCGGTGGCAGTCGCGCGGCGCTGGTGCGCTTACGTCGAGGGTGCCGAGAGCGCGGACTGGCCCCTCTCCCCCACCCTTCTCCTCCTTGTTCCTCCTCCTCTTCCTCCTCCTCTTCCTACTTTCCTCTTCCTCCCGCATCCCCTCTCCCTCCTCACCCTCACATTCTCTCCCCCCCACTCCGTTTCTCCCTCCTGTCCATCCAAAGCATTGCACTAGAAACGCACCAAACAGCTCTCGACCAAGACCAAGACAGACGCACGTCATCCATCCTTTCCCCCGGTTCCCTCTCCGGGTCCTCGCCTGGCCCATTCATGAATTCCCCCCGCCTTCCTCTTTCTCGGCGCGTTCTGAAGTGGAGGGCTAGGAGGAGAACGAGCGGTGGGACCCCTCGCAGGCCTGTTTCGGGGAACAAGCAAACTGTCGGAGGTATGCGATGATTTCTCGGATCTGCGCTGGAGCCCCCTGGAGGCGCCTTCGGCGCCGCCCTTGGCGCGCTCCGCGTGCCAAGGAGGGGGGTTCAGCGCCAGTCCGGTAAATCAGCTCCGACCTCCGAAAGCTTGCGCATGTCTGTGTCATTGCTCGTTCCCCTCCGCCCCTGCTGCCTCCACCCCTCCGGCCGAGACAGGCCCGCAGCCGAAGAACACCACAACGACCCCCCCCCCACGCCCGGGTCCCCCCCCCCCCCGCGGCAGGCCCGCCCGCGGCGCAGCAAGCGCGGGGCGGCGCGCCGCCCGGCGGCGCGCCGAAGGGCCAGCGGTCGCGGGGGAGGGGAAAACGAGGAGGAGGAGGAGGAGGAAGAGTTGGGATAACGGGGGACGCAGATGATGACGATGATGACGATGATGATCAGGAGGAGGATGACGATCATGGTGATGATGATGAGGAGGATGATGGTGATGCTGATGATGCTGATACAGGCTCTGATGAGGAGGAGGAATATGAGGCTGACGATGATGCTGATGATGACGATGATGATGATGATGGACATGATATTGGTTGTGATGATGCTGGTTCTGATGATGCTGATGATGATGACCATGCTGATGATGATGCTGATGATGATGTTGCTGATAATGAGGATGATGACGATTCTGCTGATGATGAGGATGATGACGATGACGGTGACGATGATGATCATGATAATGATGACGATGATGATGATAATGATGATGACCAGACAAGGATGCAGAGGATGAGGCCGAGGATGAGAATGAGGATGAGGATGGGGATGAGGATTCGGATTTGGATAATGCTTACGATGAAGATGAGGATAATGCTGACGATGATGAGGAGAATGATGATGACGATGACGATCATGATGATGATGCTGCTGATGATAATGATGATGCTGATGATCACGATGATGCTGATGGTGAAGATGGTGCTGCTGACGGGGATGATGCTGATGACGATATGATGCCGATGATGATGATGCTGATGCTGATGCTGAGGATGGTGATGATGCGGATGAGGCTGATGATGCTAAGGATGAGGGCGAGGATGATGATGCTGATGCTGCTCATGATGATGAGACTACCGGGGATGATGATGCTGATGCTGCTGATGAGGACGAACATGCTGATGTTGAGGATGATGATGCTGGTGATAAGCATGATGCTGATGAGGATGAGGATGGGGACAGTGCTGATGATCAGGACGATGATGCTGACGACGACGATGATGCTGATGCTGAGGATGATGCTGGTGATGATGATGCTGGCGATGATGACGATGCAGAGGATGATGAGGATGTGGATGATGAGGATGCTGCTGAGGATGAGGACGATCATGACAATGATGCTGGTGATGCTGATGATGAGGATGATGAGGATAATGAGGATCCTGATAGGGATGATGACGATGACGATGACAATGATGCGGATGAGGAGAAGGAGGAGGATGACGATGATGTTGATGCTGATGCTGATGAGGATGGGCATGCTGATGGGTGTGTTGATGATGATGATGATGACGACTATGATGATGATGATGATGATGATGATGATGATGATGAAGATGATGATGCTGATGATGATGATGATGAGGATGAGGATGATGATGATTATGATGATGCTGCTGATGATTATGATCATGCTGATTCTGACGAGGAAAATGATGCTGAGGATGATAATGAGTATAATGATGCTGATGCTGCTGTTGATGATGATGCTCAGGATGATGATGATGATGATGATGATGATGATGATGATGACGAACATGGATATGCTGATGGTGCTGATGATGATGCTGATATTTAGGATGATGCTAATTATGTTGATGATGCTGTTCCTGATGATGACGATGACGATGAGGACGATAATGATGCTGAGGCGCGGATGAGGATGAGGATGACGATGATGTTGCCGATGATGACGATGAGGATGAGGACGAGAATGACGACGAGGATGAGGCGGATGATGATGTTGAGGATGGTGATGAGGATGATGATGAGGATGATACTGGTAATGCAGATGAGGATGGTGATGATTATGGTAATGACGATGATGATGCTGCTGGCGATGACGATGCTGATGGTGATGATGATAATGAGAATGATGATGATGATGATGATGATGATGACGCTGATGGTGCTGATGCTGATGATGATTAGCGGATTAGGATGAGGATGCTGATTTTGAGGATGATCATGTTGATGAAGGGGATCATGACAATGCGGTTTATGATGATGCTGCTGATGGTAAAGATGATGCCGAAGCTGAGGATCGCTGTGATGATGCTGATGCTGATGATGACGATGATGTTGAGGTTGATGATTTTGTTGATGATGCTGATGTTGATACTGATGATGTGGATGATGTCGATACTGACGGCGATGATGCTGATAATGGGGATGATGATAATGATGATGCTGGTGATGACGGTGACGACGACGATGAGGTGGGTGAGGATGAGGATGATGATGCCCATGATGTTGATGACGAGAGTGATGATAATAAGGATTGCTGATGATGAGGATATGATGATGATGCTGCTGCTGATGATGCGGATGGTCAGGATGATGATGCTGATGATGATACTAATAACGATGATGATGCTGCCGATGATGAGGATGATGATGACAATGACGCAGATGCTGAGGATGAGGAGGATGAGGGTGAGGTTGATGATGATGATAATGATTCTGACGATGCTGATTATGATGATGGTAACGCTGGTGACGCTGATGATGATGACGATGATGAGGATGATGATGTTGAGGGTGGTGATGATCATGATGATGGGGATGATGATGAGGAGGAGGAGGATGCGGATGATGCTGATGACGATACCGATGACGATGATGATGCCGTTGATGATAGTGATGATGCTAGCGAGGAAGGAGGAGGAGGAGGAGGAGGAGGCACGCCCTCGCCGAGCGTCGCACAAGAACACACGCCCTCCAGCCAACCTGGACAAAAAGGCTCAGAGAGAACTGGAGCTAAGACATGCGGGCCGCCCTGCCCAGCTTCTCGACGTGCACGGGGGGGGGGGAGGGAGGAGGAGACAGGAAGAAGAGGCGGAGTGCCGGCCCGCCCCGGAGAGGCTAGCCGGAGCTCCGCCCCCGGGAGGCGAGCGCGGGAGGAAGAGACGAGAAGGGGAGCCGACGCATCCGAGATGTTGCTGCGCATTTCCCCTCGCCGTATGGGCGGCCGAGTCCGACGGCACGAGGCGGCAGTTGAATTATTGTCCCGGCCGCGTGGCCGACAGGAGGGCGTGGAAACTTCCGGAGACTCCGAACAGACTACCTGTGGCAATCTAAACGGTCGCCGGCCGCGGCGGCGGATCGATTGGACAGTGGAGCGAATAATCCACCCAATGGCTGGGCCTCCTCAGGTCCGCCCGGCCTCCGGGGTCACTCGGAGCCTCCACTGGTCCGCTCCGAGCCTCGGTCGGGCTGTCGGGTCCCACATCTCTGTGATACTTCGACTGCCAGCTAGCTTGCCTTGACTCAGCCTTGGCGGTGGGGTCGCCTCGGTTTGTGCTGTACCCGTTAGTCCTGGGCGAGCTTTTCAGTTTACGTGGTCATTCACAGAGCTTGGGCTCAGATTTATGAGTATGCAGTTTGCCAGTCTCGCAAGATTCCGGATGCGTGCAACGGCTCGCCTATGGCAGGTTGGCCTGAGCGCTGCTCCTGGTGTTTTGGAGGACTTATCCGCCTCCCTCTGCCCGAGTCCGGGGCCACTGCAGGGCTTTTGCCTTCATGTCTGCGCTGGTGCCGGATGCTGGTAAGGATAGCCCCCTTGAGGGGCAGCGGATCGGTCGGGCTGCGCGCTGTAAAAAAAACACGATAGTGATGATGCTGCTGCTGATGATGTTGATGATGAGGACGATGATGACGATGATGAGGACGAGGATGAGGATTAGGATGCGGATGAGGATTGGGATGATGCGGGTGAGGATGATGATGCTGATGATGCTGCTGATGATGAGGATGATGATGATGAGGATGATGATGCGGCTGATGACGATGATGATGTTGATGCTGCCGATGATGATGCTGACGTTGATGATGATGACGATGATGATTAGGATGATGATGATGATGATGATGATGATGATGATGGTCATGATGATGATGATGATGATGATGCTGCTGATGATGATGATGATGATTACGATTACGATGCTGCTGGTGATGATGAGTCTCACTATGATTATGACAATGACGATGATGATAATCATGATGCTGGTGATGATGATGATGATGATGCTTATGCCAATGACGATAATGATGCTGATGCTGGAGATGTTGAGGGTGATAATGATGCTGAGGATGATGATAATGCCGAGGATGATGATGACGATGACGATGGCGATGACGATGATGATGATGATGATGATGATGATGATGATGATGCTGCTGATGATGATGATGATGATGATGATGATGGTGATGATGGTGATGATGATGATGATGATGGTGATGACGACGGTGTTTATGATGATACTGATGATTATGATGCTGATGCTGATGATGATAATGATGATGATGATGATGATGATGATGATGATGATGATGATGATGATGACGATGACGATGATGATGATGATGATGATGATGATGATGCTGATGATGATGATGATGATGAGGAGGAGGAGGAGGAGGAGGAGGAGGAGGAGGAGGAGGACTAGGAGGAGGAGGAGGAGGAGGAGGAGGAGGGGGAGGAGGAGGACGGAGGATTTCGTACATGCTCGTTGTGTCTAGGAGGTTATCGGACGTTGTTTTGTTGGTTCTTGGAGGTTTTCCAGCCTCCAAACGCCTTTCAGCGGCTGCGCCTCGCCGAGAGCGTTGCTGGAGCGCCCGGATCGTCGGGAAAGGCCGCCGGAGAATCGAGTTATGATCCGAAAGGGGGTGCGGGAGGTGGGGAATGGGCAAAATGGGTGCGCTCGCGCCATATTTGACATCCTGACCCTCCAGCCAATCCCTTTCCATTACGCTGATTTTCCTCTTTCCAACAACGGGTGTCCTAGCAGACCTGAAGGAGGGGATGATGAAGATGCGGGGGTGGGGGGGCGGGAGAGGGGGGGGAGGGGGGAGAGGAGGAGGAGGAGGAGGAGGAGGAGGAGGTCCGTAGCCATTTTGGCTCAAGTCCGTAGCGGTTTCGGCTCGGACTGACCATACTGGCCTGGGGGAAAGCAGCGGCCCCCGACAGTGCACCTCCCGGCCTGGGTCAGGCGAGGTATTTTGCGTTTCAGTGAGCTCCTGTGGGAGCAACAGCTTCACTTCCCTACCTCATGGGTGGCGATGCGGCGCC